AATAATACTTGCATTCGACATCAGCAATGTATTTAGATGGGTATGGACAACAAATCTAACAAATGATTACATTTTTAGTACAATAAAAGATATAAATTGAGACAGTATATACTGTTGAGCATTATCAGTATGAAGAAAATTCATAATAGAAAAAAGAACTTTTATTTCCTGAAAAGAAGCGTGAAATGCAAACAACATTTTGGACCTCCACTTCAGCAAAAATGCCCGGCTCAAAATAATCTTCAACAAAAGTAATGAAGCGCTAAAACCCAAAATGGAAAACTATGACCTCTAAATATCAGATAAACAAACAGAAATGGAACACCACTAAGGCTTGACATGGAATGCACACCGGAAGGTAATGAAGTGGTGAAATCAAAAATGAGAAAGGATGAGATTAGGACCTCTAAATATTCAAAAGAACAAACAGAAATGGAACACTATAAAGGATTGACATGGAAGATGAAAAACACACTCGATATTACATTTAAATTTGGATGGAGAGAAGATACTAACAAACTTCTTAAGTTTTTGTGGTGGCCCAAATGATAATGCTGCTAATACAAAGCAATGGTGGAAGTAAAGGTAAAAGGGGACTCACTTCTCGCATACTTGTCAAAAGTGAAAATTGCACCATAGCACAAAAATTTCATGAAGCCATAGCACATAACGCATAAGGTAGAGGACGTTATTTCTAAATGTAGCACAAAATATTAAAAAGCTATTTTGTAGCAAATATGAGCAAGACTAAGCGGGATTTAAACATAAATCTTATCAAACAATTTTTTTGAACAAGTTAAGTCCTACTAAATTCTAAAACTCATTTCAGCCTTACTTCCTCGAAAATCCCAAATTTACTTGATCTGGGAGTTCAACAAATTAAGGAAATTTAACAGAAGCAAACTAGCAAAGGGGGAAAAAGAAATGTGTGAAGAGGGAGAAAGAGAAAATAATACCTGAATCATTGCTTAGCCTACACGAACCTATCTTGAGATCTCTCTTCGCTGCCAAACGACTGTGGCAAACTTCTCTCTTCACCTGCAATTGCCTGTCACGATGTTTCATTTCTTTTCCTCGAGGGGTTTGGGCTGGAGCGGAAGGGGGATTGAGAGATAGAGGTTTCTGGCATTCCAATAGGCAAGGGTTTCGAGCAATAAGAAATGGTAGCAAGAGCTCTCTTTGTTCTTGAGCGGGAGGACTGTGAAGGTAGTTTGTAGATTTTAAGGAAAATACACAATTTTGGGGGAGGACTTATGACATTTTATTGTACTATTTTTCTTGTTTTTTTATTTGCAAAAATATCAGATTAGTTGATGTTTATCTTCTTAAACATTTTATCATGCAACAGCGCTTAGCTCTCCATATCAAAATCAAGATCACTATTAGTTACTACTTACTAATATATTTTTTCTCTTAAATAAGCTAGAGTAAATATCTTTATTCTGTTTTAATTTATACTGAGTTATATTCAAAATTATATTTATACTATTGGAGATTAATGTGGAGAAAAAATAATAAAAATAAAACTCCAATAAATTTCCTATCCAAGTGAATCCACACAACACATTTTTTGAAAGAAACAAAAAAGACTAGACATTTTATAACTTATTAGAAAATGATTATAATTATGTTATTGAGTTGAATTTATTTTATTTTTAAATTAAATTAATTTATCACTAATTAATGATAAATTAATATCCTAATCTAATCATAATTTAATTCATTTAATTATGACAGTCTTAACCGTAATTAATTAATGATTAGTTATTTTGACAAATTTTAAATGGATATGTAAAATAATTAATAAAAATTAATGGTACTGAAAATTATTTCTTCAAGTAAGATTCTAGATAATAATTATTTAGCTTAATAAATAATTAATTAATGATATATTAAGAATAAATAACTAAATCTTAATGAAATCAAATAATTTAATCATAAATAATAAATATTTAAATCTTTTTTAAATAAAAGATTTAAATACTCAAAGAAGTAGCCAAGCAATTCACCAAGAATTAGTCGGATTTAACTCGTATCAAATTAAGCAATTTTTAAAATTTAACAACCTCAAGATTTATTAAATCCTAATTTACAAAATTTATTAAATTCACTAAAAGTTAAATTCCAAATATTGCCAAACAGCCCCCAAAAAGTTTATTAATAATTAATTGATGATTCAATAAAAAAAAGATAGAAAATATCCTTAAAAAACAAAAAACTTAAGATCAATATCACATACATAAAACAAGATATTGCTTTAACAGACATGAACATTGATAAATATATTAAAAATAAATTATTATGGTATTAAAAACTAGATTTGTAAATAAAGTACCGTTATTATAACAGCGCACAGTATTAAGACAATCCAAACATTAAAAAAAAAAAGATTACAATTCTGCAAATTAAACGAGATAAAATAATAATTAAATAAACCTGAAATAACAATAAATTAAAAAATAATAAAACTAGGCTGCACAAAATTAAAAAAATAGTATTAGACAAAAAACAAAGAACAAATCGATTAAAGAAAAACAATGCTATAGTAAAATCAAAATAAGGAAATAAGAAAAAATTAAATATAATCACATTCAATGTTGCTTTGACAGATGTAGAAAGGGATCAAAAGATGGACTAGCAGTTTCTAACACAAAACTGAAGATGTGTTCGGATTTTAGAGGGTCATGTGATACAGAAGAGGGTTGCGTTCAACTCTTAGACAATATGAAAGAAAAATAGCACGTGTTAAACTTAAGAGAGGATTATTGTCAATATAGAGAAGATTGACAGGGCAAACAATTGAGATCTTGCAAGCTTTGTCACACCGCAGCTCTGCTAAAAGAAACTTGCTTTCCGCTCACTTAATACTATACATGATAGATAAAATCAATAGAGTTATGTGTGAGAGCATACTGAGCACAAGGGTTTAGAAGGGTTTTAAAAAAGGCCCTAAGCAAATAAGATAATAGTAATAATAGTAAACTAAAAAATTGGTAATTAACTATAATAGGCTTTATTTAAACACAAAATTAATAAAACTAAATAAGGCGTGCAATATTTTAAATGCTATACCACCACAACAATAGCACCCATAGTGCACTTATTTCAACTACCTCCACCTTATTATGCCAATAGCATGAGAAGTGTACCTCTCTGTGCTATTTGCTATAGCATATACTATTTTACACCATAGAGATTTATGGTTCTTCACTTAGTAAACTCCACCATCTTCAACATATCTACAAATTGTCATCCACATAACTAAAATCCTAAAAAACACAGTGAGCAGCATAAAAAGTTATAAGAAACTTGTAAGGTTTTTAACTAGACAATGAATAGCAAATTGATAGAAAATTAGGGAACACGGAAAATATAAGGGATAAGGCAATGCAAAGAGATACAAAGCCTTCACAAGCACATGTGAGAAAATCATCAGTATGCGAAGGAAGGAAAATAACTTTTAATTACTATTGTATGAGAAGAGGAATCAGAATCCAAAATCAAGAACATACAAAAAATAACTGCAGAAGAAAATGAGCAATGGCATGGAAGGTAAACACGGAAGCCTAATAGTGCTAAACTCGGCACAAGTAATCAACCCTAGCTCCTATGACATGTCCTCTCGTGCATGATCTACTCCTCAAACTTGCTGTTAAACAGCCCCACCATAAAAAAGGAAAAAGATTGCATTGAAGTCAGCCTGTACTTAGCATCCACATCTTGTAAGTGGAGTATAAAATGAAGGAAGCCGACATTTGGGACAAAAGTAATAGTACAATAATCACTAACACATTACTAGCCATCTACTATTTAGTAAGGCACCATACGATATTGCCTACTTCCTTCAAATCACATCATGAGGAAACTTCAAATTGAAAACAATGAAATTTTGACCACATATAACAACTATAGATAAGCAAACTTACTGTAGGCATTCAAAAACAGGTCAAGAGAAAGGAGCAAGATTCTCAAAAGAATATCATCTACAAAAACTAAAAAATAACCATGCAGTCCTCTGACATTTAATGAAGCATTCTAACATAGCCTTGCTTGAAATCACATCATACAGAAACTTAAAATAGCAAAATAATGAAAATATGGCCACAGATTTACATAGAAGCATACTGATAACATCATACAGAAACTATAAAAATGGCCATGCAGTCCACTAATATTTAATAAAGCATTCTACCATAGTATTACTTGAAATCACATCATACAGAAACTTTAAATAGCAAAATAATGAAAACATGGCCACAGATAATTATATAAAAGCATCCTTATCTATCGACATTCCATAAGCTGATCAAAAAGCAAGGGAAGAGGACTCCTGAGAGATTGCCATCCAAAAAATATGTGAAAATGATTGTGCTTTGCACTGCGTTAAGGAGTACATGGCAGTTTGCATAATATTGTCGAGCAATCTTCAGAAGAAACTGGAACTATGGAAACAACACATATTATAATGACAGTTGGAATACAACAAAAACAATTGCTTTATAGCCACAAACATGCCTGAGAGATCATAACTCGAACCACAACAAGAAATTATAGGAAACACTAAACAGTTCATGAAGTAAAACATTCAGAATTACAATTTTCAAATTAATAATTACCAAAGAATATTAAGATCATGTATTTAGGGATACAAACAAAAGAATAATACAAGTTAAAAGAAACAAGGTCAAAGAAAAATCATGTATAACATTATTTTTTTTTGTGGTTCAATAATTATGTAAAATCTCCAATCACCTTTCAGATTAAGTTTAGGCAGGCATACATGGAAATCTTAACTAGAATTCATGACCATTTGATTCAGTAAATTCAACTTCTTTGATTAAAAATGAATAGTTTACCATGATGGTTGGCCAATTTTTTATACTTTTCTAAAATGATATCAGCGTGAAAAATTAAAACTTATTCACTTGCATTCATCTTATAGACTTGTACTCATAAGTTCACATCTAATGTTAAAGCACAGAAATTAGTATAATCCTCACCTTAGGCCCCGACACTGGGGAAACAGGATAGCCATTTGGAGACCTTTTGGCATCATCTTCAGAGGAACAATCTGAACAAACGAAGTGATCCAGCTTTTTGGCTTGTTCTATGGACATTTCCATACAAGAAGGATGAAACCTGACAGATTGAATGCACATTAGGAGACTTTTACTTGGAACAAAAAAACAACTGCAAGTCAAAACAAATGTAAGACCTCTAATAAGAAATAAAATAAAATGAAGGAACATCATACTCCACCTTTGTTCACTTATACACACAGTTCCTTGATATTAGTAATCAGAGCTTAAAATGCAGTTTGAAGGCCGACTATGGAAAAAATGGCATACGTAAGCAACTAAATTATCACAAATAATATCCAAGTCACTCAATTTAAAATCATCTACACTTTAAAGAGTGTAGAAAGCATTAAATTTCTCATTAAGATATCAAGAAACATAATTTCTTTTCTTTTTTAAATCTCAGAACAGGAAATAGGGCTACTAAATGCATTTAAAAAAAGTATAAGCAATAACATTCACAAGCAATAAATTAAGGGAATATTGACGTGGTAGCTTCCTCCCATGACTCCAATAGCACTACAGTGAAACGGGCTTAAATTGCCACGATCAATTTCTCGTCCGAACCGGTCCAAACCAAATAGGGCCGACCAGCTCTCCCACAGGGGATTGACGCCTTCTTTCCATACCGAGTTGCATTAATGCGGGAACAAATCTGCGATTCTTGCTACAGTACGCGGGATTAAATTGCCATGGGAATGATTTCTCGTCTAAACCAAACCAGTCCAGAACCCCTAGGGCCGACAGCTCTCCTACAGGGTATTGACGCCTCCTTTCCATAGGGGGATCCAATCCAAGTTATATATGGATTCTATAGTCTTTTCAGATTTAGTTTAAATTTCCATCAAAATAACTCTGGTGTCAATGTTTTCCCTTCTACGGTTGTATTTGACGATTAGTGGGTACTCTGGTTGTATCTCGTCCGAGATGGTGATTATCCCCGACCTTCACAGTCCCCCGCAACCCTCCTACCATCACCGTCGCCGGATTTACTACAACCACTAGAAAACAGCCACATTACTATTTTCCTATAGATGTCTACCGCCTCTCCTCCCCTCACAAACTATTGTCCCCTTTCCGTCATCATCCCAAGGACAGCCCGCGCGATGCCTTTCCGCAATTCCAGCCCTCCCCATCATCGTTGTCACCAAATAGGGCCGACCAGCTCTCCCACAGGGGATTGACGCCTTCTTTCCATACCGAGTTGCATTAATGCGGGAACAAATCTGCGATTCTTGCTACAGTACGCGGGATTAAATTGCCATGGGAATGATTTCTCGTCTAAACCAAACCAGTCCAGAACCCCTAGGGCCGACAGCTCTCCTACAGGGTATTGACGCCTCCTTTCCATAGGGGGATCCAATCCAAGTTATATATGGATTCTATAGTCTTTTCAGATTTAGTTTAAATTTCCATCAAAATAACTCTGGTGTCAATGTTTTCCCTTCTACGGTTGTATTTGACGATTAGTGGGTACTCTGGTTGTATCTCGTCCGAGATGGTGATTATCCCCGACCTTCACAGTCCCCCGCAACCCTCCTACCATCACCGTCGCCGGATTTACTACAACCACTAGAAAACAGCCACATTACTATTTTCCTATAGATGTCTACCGCCTCTCCTCCCCTCACAAACTATTGTCCCCTTTCCGTCGTCATCCCAAGGTCTTCAGCTTGTTACCCAACCACCCAACCACCTTCCCCTCGCTGCCTTTAAGCCTCTCTACCACCTGTCGTCTTCCTTCTCCACTACCAACACGTAGTCCACCACCATCGATCCTCGCCATAGGGGGTCTTCTATGTTCGTGTCGTTTTCTTATTTCAAGAGACTTGATTATAATCCCTTTTGAATTTCAACATCAATATTTACATTTTTATTGTGGTTTGGGCCAACTCTGATATCATTTGATATCAGAGATAGCCTAACCCCAATCTCATCCGAGGGTTCTAGCATCTGTCATAACCAAGACATATTTCCACCTAAAATTTTGCTTTCTTGCCCTACATCGCCCTTAACTCCCTCCACCTACTCACACCTAAAACTTGGTCATGCCACCAAAAAAGAAAATCATCAGAAGCTTGAGAGAAGGACACAATGTCATTTAGGAGGAATTTACAAATAGTTGTCCAGGAGATTTGAAGGGAAAATATGTAGTGAGAAAGCTGGAAATGACAACCAATGCTTACCACCTTCGAGAGGAAGCAATCCAAATGGGTATCCCATAGCCACAATGTTGAGTTGCTAGATCAAAGAAATGAAATGAATCTTTAACCCGAAGATATGACTTGAAGTATCTAAGAAGCTGAATTGTGAAATAAAGGACACGTCATATTTTGACGGCCACAACGATCCAGACTAGTTCATCGAGTGCCTCTGAGCCTTGAAATGTATTTTAAGTGTCAGGATGTCCCACCGGACGGGATGGTAAAGCAAGAAGCCAACAAGTAAATTTTGGAAGTACCTACACTGACATGAGGGAAAATACAAAATTATGACATGTTCCAAAATGAAACAGAAGATACAGTGTCAATTCCTACCAATTCACCACAAACGAGATGTTCAGACCCTAGTTTCAGAAGTGGAGAGACCGCATCATCGGGCGACCACCACATGTTACAGGCAAGGTTCAACCCCAAGATCTTGAAACCAGAGCATCCAAGCTGACCGTGCCTGAGGAAACAGTAGTTGAGAAAGGAGAAAAGAGGGCACCAATCAACATTCTCAAATCCATCCCAGCCAAGAAGTGTTTCAAGGGCCACCAATTTGGGCATATTGAAGCACATTGCACAACCAGGGGATCATATTTTCACCGAGCGTGGATTTGTTAAAGAAAGGGCAATGACACAATAATCACTGGAAAAGATGAGAAAGCAAGGGAGAATTATTAGATTCCAATTGATAAGGGAGAAAAAAAAGTAATTCAAGCTAATGTCCTACAAGAGCCTTCAATAGAATTCAGATTGGTGGTCCAAGACGGTCCTAAATCCAAGGAATCAACACCAAACACCCAACAACTTCAGATAAGACGATTTCAAACTTTTCATATATATAGCCCACATCCTGAGTTGCCCCTATTGAGGGAGGTCAAAATCGTTAAAGATGAAAAGATTTTGAGTTACTTTTGAAAGATTGTATGGATTTATTCGGATATTAGATTCAATTCAACAGTGTGCCCACGATCAGATGTCCATATAGGAAGGATAAACTACATCTTTGAAATTTGTTTTAGGAGCTTGATGGGGAAGAAAATTCTTCAATAGGATTCAAGTCCTATCAAAGAAGGAGATTGACTTCTCCTAAGTGGTTGCTAATGAGCGTTATCCAGCATGCCAGAGATATCGTTCCAGAGTTGACCTCTCCTAACAGCCTTGTTTATCAGACACATCTAGCCGAGTACGAAAAGTGGGAAAAGTATATTAAATATTTACTTGTCCAAGATTTGGCTTGCGAGAACAAACGTTTTTATATAGCTCTAGCTCGGATTGTGTCCAGAGAGAATGGATATTTATTCGATCAGGATATGTTTTGCATGGTCATGCCTACAGGATAAACTTGCTTAGATATTAAGTTATATTTTATTGATATATTGAATGAATCAACCTAACCACTCTGAGGAGACATAAAACTTCAATAGAGGAGGTTGAAGATCCCCCAACCCCAAGAGAGACGGACGAGCTTCCTCCTTGTGACTCCAATAGTGCTACAATAATGTGGGAGCAAATTTGTGATCCTATCTACAATAGTGCTACAAATATGAGACCGAGAAGACAAATGACACGAAGAGAAAAATACATGCAAAGAAATGAAACATCAAAACTGAAATCATTAAAACACATCTGCCATATCATTAATGTTTAAAGATACAGTTGAGGATCTAATGATCGACGTGGCCTCCAATAAATGAAAATGTTAATAACACAATGTTTTTGATGGTCTTAAATCATGTGAAAATGTGAATGTCAGATGCAAACTTCAACAACAACCATATTTCTATCCAGGAGCCTTTCAAATTAGAGAGCAAATGCTGGACAAAGAATGCAAAACATCATAGATCTAATCAAATTCAATATTTTTCTCTGGTGTAACAAATTGCAACCAGAAGCCAACAAATATAATATGATATAATGTACACAATTAAAACAGTAACTGTAGCATGACCAATGGGGCTAGGCAAAAAGATCCAAGACATAATTCTGTGGAGTTAGTCAAAATAGAAGGAACATGAAAAGTGTGGCATAAATTTTCAAGTCAAATCAATATAAGTTTAGTTTGCACAATGTCAAAGTGATGTGAAGGACGATAGCATCCGTGTGTCATATCATAAACTATTTAAAAAAGAATGAACTCCAACCTAAAACAGACTAAAACAATTAGCGATCAACCATAACTTTTACTCGTAAATTCTGATAAAATCGTAGGTCCCATGCATTAAATAGATATACACATTCAGCTCAAAGCAAAATTAATTATTAAATCTAAAGAAACCCAATTTAATAAGAGAAAAAAATGTATTTATCAACTTCGGATAAGAAGCTGTAGCTTCCCTAAATTTTTTATCACTAATAAGTAATCAATAGGCTCTGAAAAATCTCACTAATCATTACTCCTAATGATTTAATTGTACAAGATGATTTTTAAAGAGGCAGATAAAAATTAAGATCTAACAAAATATTTAACCCTCATTTGTGAGCTTTACATTCAGGTTCTAGGACTTGTGCCACAAGCTGAGTAACTATTCCTCTAAGTTGCAAAAGGGAACTTTTGATAATTGATTGTCTTCAAGCTCAATAAAATTTGCTGGCATAACTTTTATAAGATTGATGCTTATTTCTCTAATATTCTGGAAAATTTTATCTAGTATTAAATAGAAGATTTTAGGATATTTGTATTAATGAGAACACTCTAGAATATTTAATTAGAAAGAATCTAGACTATATTTCTATAGAAAGAAATGCAAGGGTTCAGGACTTTCAAGATTTAGTCTCTCATGTCTGTAACTAGGCATAACCATGATGTTGTTATGTCAGCTAAAAACTACTCGGCAAAGTTTAGTAATAAAAA